GGGTATGTGTGTGTGGGTGGGTGTGTGTGTGTGTCGACAGAAAGGGGAGGGACACGAAAACCACTACTCTCTCTCTCTCTCTCGGGCGACCGGAAGGTGAGGGAGACGAAATGCACTAACTCTCGCTCTCTGGGGCCTCAGAGGGGAGGGAGACGAAATCCACTAACCTGAGTCTCCAATCTTCGTGTCGCGTGGACTGGACTCAAACTGTACTCAGTCCAGTCTCCACTAGTCCTTGCTCAGCCTCCACGCAATGCACAGCCCAAACCTCCGCGTCCAACCTTCCCAATACAGAGCCCAACCGTGAACTGCACCTGTGTGTGTGCTAGCGTGCCTGTGCGTGTGCGAGGATTTGTTTGTCTGATGCTTGCGTGTGCGATCGGCGTGGGTGTGTCTGATGGTGGGTATATGTGGTCGGGTCCGATACACCACTCGACCAAAAAAGCGGTGAGTGGGTGGGTGTGAGTCCGCGGTAGCCCAGCGGAGTCGAACGTCCCACAGCAAAGCCGACCGTCGTGCGTCGTTCCCGAGAGGTTAGTTGGAAAGGGTAGGACCCGCAGTGTCGAGTCGAGCAGGGTAGTCGAGCGCAGCAGAGTCGAGCGTTTCGCGTCGCGCCGCGCCCGCCTCTCCGAAAAGTTCGTTGGGAACGCACGCACGATCTGTAGGAGCCGACGGCCCGGATAGACGCAGATCCGGTCTGACCCGACGGCCTTGATCGGGCATCTATCGAGGCTGTCAATACGGTAGGAGTTGACGGCCAGGATCCTTAGGTTGGTCACGCGTTTAAGTGGATCCGCCCTCTATGGGCCGGTAGGCCCTGGGCGGGCCCGGATTGTTCAAATGTGATATTACTATAGTGTGCGAAAATCAGTCGAAGTGTTGTAAGGAGGCAAGTTGGGCGATTTGATGACCCGCGGTGTGTGAAAACTATCGCCCGATCGCCCGATCGCCCGATTTCAGTGCTCAACTTCAACGACAAGATATTTAGGGCAGATTGACTTACCGTGAGGGCAGGGGTGCGCAGCCGCAGTTTCTTTGTTGATGTGGTTTGGGAAGGGTAAGTTAGCGATCATGCTGTGTTTATGTTTAGGCATGTTCGCTATACACAACTCCAAGAGTGTGTGTGTGAGGTCCCGGCTGGTGCTTTATGCACAATGTTCATGGGAAGCTGGACCCAGTTTCCAGCAGGTTCTGCTCCCCACCAGTAGACAGGAGCATTATGTCGTAAGTCCGCTATAAGTGCTCATATCACCTCCTCTAGTGGGCTAAAGTGGAACTTTCCGGGGCACAAAAAAAAAAAGTATGTGTGTATGTGTGTATGTGTGTGTGTGTGTGCACCTGTGTGTGTGTGTGTGTGTGTGTGTGTGTGTGTG